GCAACTCTTACAAAGGAAAAAAAATTAGCTTGAGTGGCTTCTAGTTTCAGAGATTTAGTCCATCATCATCATGGCTGGGCATGGTAGCATGTAGGTGGGCATGGTGATGGAGGAGGAGCTGAGAGTTCTGAATCTTGATATGCATATGCAGACAACAGGAAGTAAACTATGACACTGGGTGTAGCTTGAGCACATGAGACCTCAAAGCCCACCCCCACAGTGACACTTCCTCTAATAAGGCCACTTCTACTCCAGTAGGGCCACCCCCTCCTAATAGTGCTGTTCCTTTTGGGAGCCATTTTCTTTCAAACCACCACAAGTTAGCCTTATTCTGACTCTGTTGTGTAGTTATAATCACTCTTATGCAAGTTTAAAATGAAAGAAAGCATGTGAGGTACACTAGAATGTAAAGATCACCAGAAAATTGAATGTTTGAGTCAAGACTTGTGTTGAAAGAGATGAAAATACAAAGGCCTGTTTGGAAATGGACTAGAGGAAGGGACTATTCAGAAGACTAATGCAACTTGTAAAAGGAAAGGTCTATAGCAAGAAGAAAAGTTGCTGTAAATGTGATTGTGGGGGGCAGGATCTTCCCAAGTGGGCACTCAAACTTGCTAGTGTTATCCACGTGATTCTAGCTTTAGAGTGGAAGGATACATGAATAAAGGAGTATGGAATTTTCCTCTACATTTAAACCCTCTGAGGCTAGGAAATGTGTGGCAGGACAGCTCCTGCATGAAGGTCATGAGAAGGCATGAGGCTCTTGAAAGGTCACTGAGTAAAGCTGTCCAAGTGAAGCTTGGATTGCATTGGAGACCCCAAGATGCTAGTAGTGCTAGAACTGTGCAATATCTGCAAGGACAACTACATACAAAAATACAAGGAATGGAACCAGTCCAAGAGGAAAAGGATACCTCAGGCAGTAAAGCTGGGAGGGAAGACCCATCTATGTTTTCTAACAACAGACTTGGAGTTAAAGGATATGGAGTTTGCACTGCTAAGGCTTCAATCTTCTTCTGGTTCAGCATTTCTTCACTACGCCCCAGTTCCTCCCTTTTGAATAGTGGATATATATTCTGCACCATTGTTCATTAGAAGTATGACATTTTCCTTTTTACTTTACAGGCAGTTACAATTAAGAGATTTCCTTGAGTCTCATAAGAGATTTGGACTTTTAGACAGTATTGAGACTATGAAGGACTATGAAGACTTTTGAAGTTGAACTAAATATATTTTAGACTAATATGTGGCTATAAGATTGGAATAGAATGAGGTGATTTGGATGAGGTGTTCCCCATGATTCTTGGACCTTTGAATACTTCCTAGTTGGTGTTTGTTTATCCAAGATTAGGAAATGTAGTCTTAATGGAGGAGGTTTGTCACTGTGGGGTGGCCTTTAAGGTTTCAGAAGACTCACATTCCCAGTGTGCTTTCTGTTTTCTGTTTATGAATCTAGATGTAAATTCTCAGTTGCATCAACAGTACTTACCCCCAGATCTTTGTTCTGCCATCATAAACTCTAACCCTCTGAAACTGTTGGCCCAATTAAACTTTTTTGCAATTTACCTTGGTCATGTTTATCATAGAAAAAGAAAAGTAACTAATGCAGTTCCATAGTATAGCTCATGTTCCAAATCCAGGCTGATCTTGAACTCCTGAGTACTGGAATTAGAGGCATAGGACACTGGCTCACATATTTACAAGCAACTCCTATGTGTTTAATGCTGTAACTATAGTTATAAATGGTATCCTGAAAAAGTTGTGTTGCTCATTTGTGGCTCAAAGCTTTACTTCTCACCCCTACTCCTCACTTAGTTGTTCTGTTTTTCTTTCCAGATGAAGGTTAGTATCATTTTATTAATATATGAGGGAAGTTTTGACTGAAACTTATTGTTGTGTAGAAGTGACACTGTATAAAGGTGAACAAAGCAGTATGTGAATCAGTAGAGGTTACCACACAGCAAATGAAATACTCCAAGAGTTAGCTGCTCAATGCAGATGCTCAGAGTGCATATCCAAAACCATTGCTTATTCATATAATGGCCATAAAATGTAATAGAGATTTGTGTTGAATAGTGTGGTGTTTGTGGACTGACATCCTTTGGAGGAATGGTGGGGTAAATGAAGGAACATTTCTCATGGTATTCTCAAACTGGAAAACAGCCTTCTTCATTATATTCTCAAATTGAAAACAAACTATATGTCCCTCAACCATAGAAGTGATCAACTGGGGGGCTGGAGAGATGGCTCAGAGGTTAAGAGCACTGACTACTCTTCCAAAGGTCCTGAGTTCAATTCCCAGCAACCACATGGTAGCTCACAACCATCTGTAATGAGACCTGGTGCCTTCTTCTGGCCAGCAGACATACATGTAGGCAGAATATTGTATACATAATAAATAAATAAATAAATAAATAAGTGATCAAGTGTGGTAAATTTATACAATGGAATATAGCAATGGAAAATTACAAATTATGACTGTACATAAAACACAGATGGCTCTCATGAATTGTTCTATTGATTGAAGAGTTAGGAAAAGTACTCACCATTATGCAAGTGATGACCAAATGATAGCATTTTTTTTTTGGTTTTTACAAGACAGGATTTCTCTGTATTGTTTTGGAGGCTGTCGGACCAGCCTGGCCTCGAACTCACAAAGATCCACCTGCCTCTGCCTCCCGAGTGCTGGGATTAAAGGTGTGTGCCACCACCACCCGGAAGTTCTATGTATGCATATTCTATGTATGTATATTTACAAACAACCAATCTTGTGTGGCAAAGCTGGTTTCAACTCATGGTGTAGTTTAGAATAACCATAAACTTCTGATTGGACACTACCAGCTGAGCTCTATCTCTATATTCTATGTTTTTTCTTATGTTTACAGCAGAGATACAGAGGTATACAAGTTAGGAACATGGCCATAATTTTCCCTCACACACCAATGTTTTATCATTTTTTCCAAATCAATATTCTTGTGGACTTTAGTCATAGGAGATACATCTTTAAAACTATGAAATGTTAGCCAGGCATTGGTGGCACATGCCTTTAATCCAAGCAGGGAGGCAGAGATAGTCGGATCTCTGTGAGCTCGAGGTCAGCCTGGTCTACAGAGCGAGTTCCAGGACAGCCTCTAAAACAATACAGAGAAATCCTGTCTTGAAAAACCAAAAAACAACAAAAACCAAAACGAAAAAAAACCCAACAACAACAAAACAACAAATTATGAAATGTTTTGGGTAAATATACTAGAGGATGTCTAAGAGAAGCAATGTACTGAAAGGAGTATTTATTTTGGCTCACTGTTGAAGAGGGTCTTCATCCATCATGGCAGGAAAGCCATGATGACATTTGGGATAGAGGGAGTGTGTTGTGAATTCTCCTCAAAACATGGGGGATCAGGTCAGATCCCCTGGTTGGATAACCTTCAAAGACCTGCTCCTGGAGACCTTCTTTTTTCTTCCTGGTCCCACCTCAAGGCTCCATGACTTCCAAAATAACAACTAGCTTGAGAACAAACTCTTGAGCCTCTGAGAGACATTTCAGTTTCAAATCAAAACAGCAACTATTAGGTTGTTAAGAATATAGCAAAGGAAGTCCAGCACAGTGACACTTCCTTAATTCTAGTATGTGGGAGTCAAAGGCAGATGGAGCTCTGTGAGTTCAAGGTCAGCCTGGTCTATAACAGTGAGCTCCAGGACAGCCAATAGTAATGCAGTGAGACCTTGTCTAAAAAGAAAAAGACCATAGCAGAAGGCTACTTTCTAAAATTATTTTACCTTCATTAGTGATGAGTTGCAATATTTGAATAGTCTTGCTCTACCCACCTATGAGTTTTTACTATTTTTAACCTATCTGAAAATTTCTTGTTATTAGTGTCCCTTTTTGTATGAGCTTCTTGTGACTGCTATATCAAATTAGCATAAACTTGCTAGTTGAAGCTAACAAAGTTGTTTGTAGTTGTGGGGACAGAGGTTTTAAATCAGTACCACTGAACTGAACTCAAGGTGTGGGTAATGTGTTCCCTCTGAAGGCTCCAGAAGAGAATTTGTTCTCCTTGCCAGCTTCTCCTGGCCACCAGCATTCCTTGGTCTGTGGCCGCATCACTGCCATCTCTGTTTTCATGGTTATATTGCCTTTTTTTGTCTGAGCCAGTTCAGAGTCCATTTTCCCCTTATAAGGGTATATATGAATGAATTGAAATCTTACTAGATAGTCTTCTTGTTACAAGATCTTTCGTTTAATTATAGCTGAAGGTCACTTCTTCTAGAGAGGTCAATATTTACTGAGGAGGTCCTGACAATGTTATCTTACTGGTCTGTAGCCTACTAGACTTTTCCCTCAGACTAAGTCATAAGGAGCAGAGTGCTCATGGGTTTGTTCAGTTCTGTGTCCTCAGTGCTAGCATGAGTTGTGATGAAAACAATATTCAGTAATACTTGACAGATTAAGAATTACTGAGTTACCTTTAGAGTGGGGACTTTTGTTTGATTTGAGAAGCCATGCATGGAAAGCAACAGTATTAGGGTACAGCTAGTTGGAATTTACAGTGAGAAACTTGGAGGGATTATTCTAAATATTAGGTTTTGCCCTTCCTTTGTCTAGGTGTTTCATGAATGAACACTTCTTGTATGCGGCGGTGTTAAAATACAGTTTGTATAAGCCTGGAAAGATATGCTAAAGTCTGCATTCTAGGATCCCTGCTTTCATAAAAACGCCTGGGATTCTTCTCAAAACTTTCTGTTTATTCTTTGAAGGGGTTTAGTATGGGATCCTGTCATGAGTACTGTAACTGAGAATCCACATGACATTTTTATATTTTGTGGATTAGTTCTATTTTTCTTTAGATTGTTTCTTGGAAGTGTTCAAGCCTAATAGTTCTCCATACAAGGAGAAGATCTTTACCCTTTTTACAAAAAAAAAAATGGCTCTAAGTTTTCAAACTCTCATTTAAACCTTCTCAACTTGTCACAGATCTTTAAAATACTGTTATAACACAACATTTTATATAGCAGCACCTTCCTTTACTTTGACGAGATCGGGCACGTTCAGGGGGGTATGGCCGTAGAATAGCAGCACCTTCCTAGGGAACTTCATACACAAGTTTTCCTCCAGGAAACTACTCTTGTGAGATTCTGAAGGTGAAAAAGGCCAAGAAGGCACTGATTGTACTATGGAAAGTTGTTTTAACTTCACGGGAACTGCAGGGTTCTCAGGACCACATGCTGAGGCTTGCAGCCTGAAGCTGAAGGTTGCATGGCCAGTAAGATGGTGCTCAGTTCACTCAGTTCTGCTGTACTGATGAACTTTGGAGTCTGGCTGTTGAGAGGAACGCGAAGGGTTAGAGGGTAAAAGAGGACCCAGCGCCAGAGGCCCAGGAAGGACACTCCGAGGCGACAACCAGGTCTCCCCTTCCGCTGAGGCCTTAACAGCCTTCTGCTGCGTCCCAACCACCGGGCCGGTGCTCCATCTCACCGGCTGGATGGCTCTTGTGCGCGCGCAGCCCGAAGCGTCCCCCGCTGCCAAGTGACAGACCCCGCCCCTCTGCGGCTTCCAGCCTCCCGGCTTCCGTGGCAACCGAGACTCCCCCAGGTCCCCGCCCCTTGGACCAAATCACTCGCATAAGTTATGTTCTCAGAAACAGGGACGGAGGACAGAACGTCTGAGGGCTACTGTGCTCCGGTGTGGTTCCATTTCCCTCTAACGACATGTTTGCTTTCGTCTCCTAGCCAATGTCCCCTGCAAGCACACCGCGACAAGCAGCCCGTACCTCCTGTTCTCCCCCGACTGCAGCGTGGTGGTTGGGCCGGGGGGGCGGAGCGTACACGAGTGACGCACGGGGGGCGGGGCTTTCGGGGCTCAGGGGGCGGAGCTCCGCGGGGGTGGGGAGGAGGGCAAGATGGCGGCCCGTGAGTGATTCTCCCTGGGTTCCTTCAGTGTTGAGGAGACGCCGGGGCGGGGGTCCCGCTCGACCTGCCTGCTGGCCTCCTCTCCCCCGCCCCCGGAGGCCTCCTCCTTCCCTTCCTCCACCTTGGGGGCGGGCCACCATCCCCGGACACCATGTCAGACTCTGAGGAGGAGAGCCAGGACCGGCAACTGAAAATCGTCGTGCTGGGGGACGGCACCTCCGGGAAGGTCAGTCCTCGGGCAGGCCCGGCATCCTGGGCTGCAGGAAACCAGGGTGCGGCCAGGCCTGGCGGACCCTTGGGGAGCCGAGCGCTGTCCAGCGCTGCCTCCCCCCTCGGCCGTCCCGCTGACTTGGCCTGGCTCGCCTCAGGCCGCGGCCTCCTTCGCGCCTGCGCCCTGTGCGCGTGCCCGCCGCCCGCCTGGCATGGCTAGCTCCCGGGGTGGTGGGCCACTGCTAACGCAGGCCCAGACCGTGACGATGCACAGGCCGAGTGCGCTCCCTACACCTTAGCTGCCCCGGCTAGTGTCCCGCCTCACTTCAGTTCCGTCCTTGGCACCTGTCAGTTCATTCAGTAGGTAGCCATGGAGCTCACGTGGTGGGCGGGATGCCGGGGGACACGAGGACCTCCGCCTTAAAACCTAGCCTTCTGTGACCGTTGGTGGCGGGAATGAATGGGCGCGCGCACGGAGAATCCCCGCAGGCAGTTAGCCCTAGGCTGGAGTTCTTGACCAGAAGTTATGCACTCCTGAAATGGCAGGAACGTTGTTGTCTCATCGCCTGGTCCCTCGCTAGGGACGGGGACCCCAGGTGCCTTGGAGGGATGGGGTTTACCTCCCAAATCAAGCGACGCACCTTTGTCTGGGCGCCCTCACTAATCGCTCCAGTTAAAAAAGCACGACACTCCTGGGGGAAGATAGCTAAACTTTTTCCTCCTCTGCGCAGCCAGCAGCCAGAGTCTTCTTTGGAAACCACTCTGCCGCGTCTGTGACTGGTGGAGTTGGACCTGGTTTCTGTGGTGACGGCTCATGCATCATTCCCGGAAGGAAGCTGTGCACACGCTTTCGTGCTTTTGCTTCTGAAATTTGGGTTCCTAGGGTCACTATGGAAGGTTTCATTCTTCTGCACAATTTGGAGTCTTCTGTTTATCCCTTTCTTATTTTCCCAGAATGCTTGGGAAATACTGTACAGCGCAACCCCCCCCCCAAACAGCTTAATGTGATTCTATTTTTGCGCAAAGAACAGAACTTGACTGCTTTTCTTTAGATAGTGTATGAAACTTACATTTTTTGAGTAAGCAAATTGTAAATCAGTATCATTTCTAAGCTTTCATTCAACAAAAAGTTAGATTATTTTATAGGTTGCATTAGCTTTTCTTTTGAAGGCCACCTTGTGTTTTTATCTCGTAAATTCAGTTGCATTCAGTGACCAACTGAGCTTTACATTTAAAACCATGACACTTCATAATACTAATATATTATCTAAAAGACCCCCAAACTACCCATTAAGTCTACATATTATATTTTTACATTTAAATTTGAATATAATTCATCCAATTTAAAAATAGTTAATATTTGATCATATTTAAAGTTTTGCTCATTTGTCTATTTAATGCATGATGAAATTTATTCATAGTTTTATTTCTATATTTAACAAATGTAGCCAGTCACACATTATTTTGTCTTTGTTGCTAGTTTAGTGTAATTGGTCTTCACCTGTTTAAAGTTCTGTCCAATGATGAACAATATATAATTTTTTTCTCTTCTGTGTGGTTGAGTTAGGGTTATCATTCTGCATTGAAGAATGAGTAAACTTCTTTTATGGTACTCTGACTCAGTCTTTATCCTGCTGACTAAGTAATGTATTTTAAAATGTCATAATTTTTCCTGCTATGTACTTTCTGAAATGAGCTGCTGAACTTTAACTGTGTTCCATTATTACTGTAGCAAAATTTTTTCATAAGTCTGTTCGGCTCTCAAATTGCTGATACCACCATTCTCATTCTGCTTCTTTTACTGTCCTTTGCTTTATGAAACAGCTTTCTTTCATTCTTACTTGTATTCCTCATTTAACTCTGCCATTTTTGTGATGTTTGAACTATCAGCATTTTTATACCCACAGGCAGAAGCAATAAAGAATAGCACTGGGAACATCAGTAACTGTTTCTGGAAAAGATGTAGTGTGTCCCTCTAGTACCATCTTTCCTGTTATTTCATATATTCAATTTAATTTCACATTTCTTAGGATTTTTTGAAACAAACTATTCTTTTCGGTATCATAGCAAGCACAGTGATATCTTTTTTTGGTGTCATTTCAGTGTTAGTAAGTATATAGTTTGGCTAAAGAACATTTCCCAAACCAAAACAAACACCCTGTATGTATGTACATCAGTAACCAAATCAAAAGTTTCGATATTGTAGCTGGTTGTTCACTTTAAGAAGAGTATTTATACAATAATGTGATAAATCATTGACTATGAGAAATGACACTAAGAATAAAGAACTGGAGAGAAAGGAAATGCCACTTACTGATCGAGTTGATTCTCAATTCTTATAGCAAAATGGGAGATGATTTAAGAACCTACACTGATACTGTGAGTGGCTTATGACCTAGACACTTGGAGTTTATTGCTCTAAATGTGAAAACCCTGTGATTTTGAGGCTTTATGTTTGCCTCAGATTTTTGAGGGCAGAGCTTTTAAAATCTGGAAATCCTGTTTTCAGGGAAAGAACTCAGAATTTTTCCAATTATGTATTTTATTAGCAAATAAAGTATTAGGTTTCATTATTTCATTTTTCAAACAAAATTTGTTTTGTTGTTTTTCATCCCTGGCTTTGTGCTCTCCCACTTGCACTTGTGTCCGTTTCTGAATACTAATATAGAAATATAATTTGAGAATCTGAAATGAAAGTGAAAAAATACTTCAAATAACATTATGCTGCTACATGTGCCTTGTTTTTCCTTGACTTTTAAATATTTCAGCCATTCATGTGTGAAACATTTGAAAATACTTGCGGTAATGTAGGTAATGGTATTTTTCTCTAGACCTCTGAGATTCAGGCTCAATGGAATAATTAAAGTTTGCGGAAAACCAAAAGATCTTTAAAAAACAAATACTTAACTCTTTTATTCTGGTTTCTCATTTTGATAACTGTTTTTATACTTAAATGATATAATAAATGTAGTGAGTTTATTTCTAAATGTTTGGTTGAATATCTTTCATATGGGATTGCTCAATGAATACTTGATGCCAAATCTTAGCAATTTATTATAATTACATCATTGGAATATTAAAGACTTTGGAGTTAGAGTATGCAAATTGTTCTTTGTGGGAAAAATATGGCCCTTGTGTAAAAGAAATTTAACTCACCTTGCTAAAAGTACTTGAAATGTGGCCAAGTGTTCGTTAGAATTGCTATTCTTTTATCATAACTATAATGAGCTATCTTGCAAACTTTATCTTGGTTTTCTTTATTTTGCCAGTTGACTTCAAATTTTGACTTTTAAGATAAAACAAGTTTTCTTTTTTCTGTTTTGTCAAAACTCCAACAACCTGTCTTGAAGCTTAGTGGAGCTTCCTTTCTGTCCTTTGGGGTATGCTTCCAAGTGAGAGCAGTGTATTCGAAATGCTTCATTCTGATTTTGGACTCATTTCAGTTGTTGCTAGAAGATTTTTTTTTTGCTTTGATAAAAAAATGACTCTTTAAAGACAGCCCTGGAGTCCTTTAGTGAAGCTTAGAGCTTTTATTGAAAAAGTATATCAATATCTGTTGTTATTCTATCTTGTGACTTTTTAGTGCTGTCTTCAGCTAGAAAATATTATTTTGCCTGCTTGCTGCTAATATTCTTAACCTTTTTATTGAAATGGTGCATATTATCTTGGTAATCCTGTATAATTATTTATACTATCATAAGTATAGAGGAAAATAAAATGTTTCTTATAGGAAAACTGGAAGATTCTAACATCTCTTCCCTAATATGTGCTTCTTATTATTAGCCAATGGTCCAATTACCCTCAGATATGTAGCCTTAGAAGGAAACTTTAAAGAGTTCTCAAATTTTTATTGAAGCAATGTATAAGATTCAGATCTTAATCATATTGTTGCTTTAGTTCCCATTTACAATTCTTCGAGTCTTATTTTCATCAAGGAGAAGAATCTTGAAAGTCAGGGGAATTAATGAATTCTGATTAGATTAGCCTACTGTTTCCTCTGCTGGTTGTGGGCAAGAGGCATTTTCCTGGTGAGAGTGTGTGTCTATCCTAATGACTGATTAGAACTACTGAAGGTTGTTTGTTTGATTAATTAGTGTATAAATGTTAAGATTACTTAGTAAGTTTAGTAGTGGTCTTATGTTTATTTTTAAGCAAAGAAATTAAAATTTCTATTCTATGCATCCATTTTTTTTAGACCTCCTTAGCGACATGTTTTGCTCAAGAGACTTTTGGGAAACAGTACAAGCAGACTGTAGGACTGGATTTCTTTTTGAGAAGAATTACCTTACCAGGTGAGAGACTAAAACCTATGAGATTGCTTAAGTCTCACTCACAAGAAAACCTTTCTAGGTAAGAGACTATAAAGCCTTACCTGTGTGAGGTTATGTAATTCTCACAGGAATATATACAACAAATTAGCTATCATTAGCATCTATTATGAGAGTACGTTGTCCATGGGGTAAGAAAAAGTTTATACACTTCTTAGTCTATTGCTGTTACTGGCAACTATACATTTTTCTTTTTTGAGTATAAACAATATTTGCTCAAAAAATTCCAGAAGGCTTTTAAAAAATCAAATACTATACATTTGTTGACAGCTATTGTATTAATTCAATGTGAAAAGACCGGGAAGGATTTAAAAATATTATTTTGATTAGCTTCTGCTTCTTTTTTTTTTTTTTTTGTTTGGAAGTTGGAACAGAAGTATAATGTAGCTATGGAACTTCTGTGCTCTAATATGTGAATGCTGTTTTATGCA